TCAAAAAGAAAACATAATATATGAAAAAATCTTATATAATAAATCAAAAGAAAACAACACTTAAGCCAACTATATACTAGACAAAATTCCAAAATCATATGATAATTTACTTATTTATTATTTACATTTCTATTTATTTACTATTTGTTCATAACTGTGATCATGGCCTAAGAGCCGAAACATGTAAGTTTATTCAATAAATTAATAACTTAAAAAAAGGGTACTAAATGTTTAATTATTTATTTCATTTTTAATATATATATATATATATATATATATATATATATATATATATATATGTGTGTGTGTGTGTGTGTGTGTGTGTGTGTGTGTGTCCTTCAGCACGATAACTCGAGCAAAAATGATCTGATTTTGATGAAATTTATTTAGTACAAACGTGTAAACCTACGTTTATTCGAACGAGTTTGCGAACCAGCATGATCGTACCATGGGAACGGGGTTTTATGGGGTTAAAATTGGTTTTTCTCATTTTTGACCCCCAAAACATAAAATTTTCCAAATTTTCTCTAGACCTTTTTGAAGAGCTTAAAAAAACAAATAATTTAGTATATTGAAGTGTTTTTGTAAGGTTATTGGCTACGGAGAAATTTGTAAATTAAAAATTCCCATGTTATTCTTATCATGGAGAATAAGTAAACTGTTGTAGTTTGCTTGTTTATGGGTACTAGTGTCCCTGTTGCTCGAATTCGAGCAATTGCTAAGTATTAAAGGCGTTATTTTAAAACGAATAACAGTCATAATTTCTGATGACTTTAAAAGATTCAACTCAAAGATTTTGGAAATACTCATGATGTAGGTACATAACAGATCGATATAATCACAATTTCTTGTAAATATCTTATCATTTTTTTAAAAGCTGATCTTGTTTTTAAGTGTTTTCTACAAATAGCCTTACTCATAGCCGCATTAGGTTACCCATAATAACATTATAAATTCTAAAAAAACATCTATTTCTTCTCCTTGGTGGTGTTCTATGACTTTCCTGTGTTTCCATAGTTTGCAAATGGACTCTTTCAATTATTAATAAGAAATGCAGCACAGTGTTAATTCAGTTTTCTTTTTAAGATATCAATTTATCCAGGCTCTCTCACTTTTTTCCATTGTAATATTTACGCCAACCGAAATTCAAATAGTAAACATTTCATTTCAACCAAGACAGTAAATGTTTGTAGCAAACTGTTAAATTCAGCAAACAATGTGCTCGCTGGTTAAATTAGCAAACTTATTGACGGTTTACAACATGTGTTCTTATTCTCACTTTTAATTTTTGACAACAGCTGGAGATTCAAAACAATTTTTGTTTCCCATGTTAATCTTATGGAGAAATACGAAACTTTAAAGGGCCCCAGGGCCTAACTCTCTAATTATTTCCCTAAAAAGATAGTTTCCTGCACAACTTCACGTTACGCTCTTTCCGATGAGACCAAAAACATGTCAATCGGTTCAGTAGTTTCGGAGGAGTAATTGTCACAAAAATCCTGCTTGCGTATTAAATAAGTATAATAGATATTTTAATTACATTTGGCAAATCTATTCATGTTATACTAAGCTATTATTATTTTACTAAAAAACACAATTTATTACCCTCCCTGTAGGCAGCAAACCTAGGTAATCGTTAAACCTAATGTTATATGAATTTGAATTATTAGCGAATTTCCCATATAGGGAATAAGCTATTACCGTAGGTCTCATGGTAAGACCTAGACCCGGGACCGATTTACTTTTTCGTTTTGAGGTCCCCAGAGGCCAAAAACACCATCCGTTCAAATTCATATATATATATATATTTATATATGTGTCCGTTAGCGCGATAACTCGAGCAAAATTGATCCGATTTTGATAAAATTTGGTACAAACGTGTAAACCTACATTTATTCAAACGAGTTCGCGAACCAGCATAATTGGCCCATGGGATCAGGGGTTTATGGGGGGTTTTATGGGGTAAAAATGGGTTTTTCTCATTTTTGACCCTAAAAACTTTAAATTTCTAAATTTCTCTCTAGACCATTTTGAAGAGCTTAAAAAAACTAATAATTTAGTATATTGAAGTTTTTTTGAATGTTCATTGACTACGGAGAAAATTTAAGAAATTGTAAATTTAAAATTCCCATGTTATTCTTATGGAGAATAAATAAACTGTTCTAGTTTGCTTGTTTATGGATATATTTCACTCAAATTTGGCAATTTGGCTTATTTCATACTAAGCTATCAATATTTCAATTGAAAAAAACACACCTCAACATCTTTCCCGTAGCAGCAAACCTAACTACTCACTAAAATTAATGTTATTTAAATAGGAAATAAATCTGAAAATTTATAGGGAATATTTTAGTAGAAATCAAGCCGGGTGAATGGAAATTCTCTTAGTATGCAGGTTTGCTTCGACGGGGGTATTTTATCTTGTTTCACGGACACACACATATATATATATGTATATGTATATATATATGTATATATATATATATATATTAGCCGCTATACCCATGCCTTGCAAAGGGGTCAAGATGCAGAAGAGACAATTTTGGTTCCTTGAAAATAATGGCAAGCAGCTTGAGAACGGTAAAGAGAACAATTATATGTTCCCTAGATCTGCTGTATGTAGATGGACTTTTATTAATTTACTATTAGTATTAACTGGCTACATAAACAATTAAACATAACTGTAAAAAATCCATCCATTCCATGTATCACAACTTTTTGTTTCTGCTTGGTACAAATTACCTGATGTCATAAATTTAAACAATTAATAGTGCTGCACTCTGTTGGAAAACATATTAACTTTTTAATGATATTGATTATCACAGAATCAAATTGTTTAGTTGAAACAGCTGTTAAGATTCTTTAATTCCATTTAAATATTCATAAGGTTAACATGGGGAAACTCCAGAGCCATTATACATTTACGGCCATAATCTGGCATTTAAGGACAATTCCCGTACATTTTATGGCCAGCCCAAAATTAAGTTACAATTCCTGGTTTTCCCGGGATTCCCGGTTGGTAGACACCCTGTCAAGAAATGCCACTCTATGGATGATGTAGAGGAATAAGAAATTTACAAAGCCTCAAAGAAAGATCAAGGAGACACTATAAATTAAATTATCAATTTAGTTTTAAATCAACTCAAATGATATCCAGGATTTTTCTCCAACTGCAGATTACAATGATAACATTTCAAAGACTGTGGGAGACGACGATGTTGACCACACAACCACGGGAAACATTCATGATTTTTTCGCGATCTCGGAAGACGATGATAACATTTCCGTGATCGTGGGAAACGACGATGATGACCAACCAACTGCAAAAAATATTCAAGATTTTGCCAGGATCTCGGATGATGATGATAACGTTTCCATGACCGCTGGAGACGTTGATGATGACCACACAACTGTCAGAGATATTCAGGATGATCCTGCGATCGCAGATCACAATGATAAAGATTTTATGACTGCTAGCACAGAAAACATACTACTATAACCCAGAATGCCAACCGCATTTTAAAAAGCATTAAGCGTTTTGAGAGAGCTTTGCCTGTCAATTCCTAGGCAGCGCCACCAGCGTTACCGTGCACTCAGCATAGCAACGCTGGTGGCGCTGCCTATGAATTGACAGGCAAAGCTCTCTCAAAACACTTAATGCTTTTTACCATGCGGTTGGCATTCTGGGTTATAGTAGTATGTTTTCTGTGCTGCTAGAGACGATGATGATGACCACACAACTGCCTGAAATATTCAAGATTTTGCCACGATCGCGATGATAATCACCACACGACGGGGGAGATATTCAGGATTTTGCCGAGATCGTGTATGACGATGATAAAGTTTCAGTGACCGCGGGAGACGATGATGATGACCACACAGCCGCAGGATATATTCAGGATTTTTCCACGATCAAGACATTGATAATGTTTTCGATTGGAACATTCAGGATTTTATCGCCATCGCAGGAGAAGATGATGACATTTTTGTTAACTAAGAAAATCATTACGATATATCTCGATTACGAGTAATAGCCTAGTCATCATGCCTTTGTGAAGAATACAAATTAAGATACAACAAGTTTATGATTTGTTAAAGGTACTAAATTTAATACTGAGTTTTATTGGTGATCATAATCCACGTCCCTTAAACCCATGTTTAAATGTAAACTTGAGATTTATTTGTGAAGTAATTAGTAGATGAGTTGAGTTAAATTGGAAACATTAACTTCCTGCTTAGCATTACTTTAGCCATGGTTTAAGGTTTTTAAAGAAGTACTGGCATTTAAATTGGTACGCATTGGGTAAGGCCCCAGTGAGGTATGGTGGTTAAATCATAAGTTACTTTAAATTCCTTAATTTATTTATTTCAGGCCGAATAATTTTGAATGTCCAATTTAAGTTCAGAGTCAATTAAAGGTACTTTCTTATTAAATGGCGATCATACAAAGTAGGTATTTTAAGCCAAGTATGAATGGAGTTGAGTGTAGGATGAGTGGCGCGATCTTGTAATCTTGTTAGTGACTAAGGCCGACATTCCTTAGACACATTTTTAATTTAACATTTAATTAATGTTACCATTCATCAAAGCCATTTAAATGTTAAGTATTAAAGCTGGCTTCTTGGACCTGTGATTCGCGGTAAGCTGTATCCTCTGATTAAATTTTAGGTTCAATGCTCGTTTCCAACATGAATGGTTATGTCGTAACATCCGCCAAACAGCCAGATTGCCACATGCAAATAAATCTCTTTCTTGTGTAATAAATATTCTCTTATTTTGACTATATAATTAATGTTTACCTATATAGATCTTTCATATAATAACTTTCATGCTGATGCATCATCTTATCAGTAAGTTCGCTTCAAATAAAAGCAATAAGTTATTTTATTTATTCAAAATTAAAAAGCAAATCACTCCTGGGTCTAGGTCTAACTGTGCCATCTGTGGTAACAGCTAGTTCCCGATAGGAAGCTGGTTTTTGACCTTATTGATTGACTAACCTTGTTTGCCAGCTGCAGCAGACTAGCAGTGTTAGTAGCAGTAAGGGAACAGCCAGCAGCTTCCACCAGTCTCTGCAGGGTGTTCGGCTCTGGACTAAGGTCTCGAGCTCCACTGTCAAACTCCCAACTCTCCCCACATTTGCCTCCTGATGCTCCTCCTACCGTAAAATAAATAATTGTTGGAAAACATTTCAAAATCTCAATTTCATTATGAAACACTGAATGAAAAAGTTAATCTGGTTACCAAACAATCGTTTTTAACAGTAAATTAATTGTTTGAGATTCAACAGGCTTAATCTTGCGAGTCACAAGTGATAATCTTTTGGAGTATTTTGTGAACAAGTTAACTTAACCTATTTAATACAACTTACTTAGTTACTTACTTCTGTGGTCACTGGTACCCTAAATGGTACTTGGCATCTAAACGTGGTTTAGTAGTTTGCCAAAAGTACAGACACTAGATCTTCACAATTTCAATAATTTTCATTCAAAGTACTCTAAATTACACACTCAATCCCAAAACTATAATTATGTGATGCATACTCATTTAAGTCAGGACCGCTTAACTCTTTTGTTTTGATGTTGTCACAAAAAAAAATACAATTTTTTTTTTTTATTTATATGGAAAGTAAATAAAAGAGACGTCTTATAACACTTGAAACATATATTTACGCTTATACTGTTACTCACATCATTGTTGTTTTTGTAAATATACAAAAAAGATGGTAAGTAGTGATCGATTTCGATTGGACTGTCCCATCGAACAAACACAGTCGAATCGAAATCGATCATTAATTACCATCATTTTTGTATATTTACCGTCTTGTGAGTAACAGTATAAGCGTAAATATATGTTTAAGGTGTTATAAGACGTCTCTTTTATTTACTTTCCATAAATTTAATAACACGTACAATGCTGATCAAGAAGTTATTTAAAATTTATATACTACATAACCTTTTTGTCCTAATTTTGTCCTATCACGTCCTAAAGCGTAATAACCCCAGAAAAATAATCCAATTACAATGAAGCTTAATTAAAACGTATAAGCCTACTTAGTTTGCCTGTTTATCGATATAGTTTGATTAAATTTAACAAAATTATTTATTTCATACTAAAATATTTAAATTTCACTAAAAACACATTGTTCATTTCCCTGTAGCAGCAAACCTAAGAACCGTAGAACCTTGATAATTTGACACTTTGATAGTTTGACACTCCTTATAGTTCGACATGGGCCGTAATGATATGACATTTCGGCAGCGGCGGATAACGGCCGTTTGCTAAGGTAAAAAACTAGAGCCTTTTTATTGTTTTTCTGCAAGCAAAATCTCAGTACTTTTAACTATCCTATTGCATTAATTTACATTTTTTCTAAAATCTAAAGTGAAAAGCTGTTGAATACCTATTGCAAACTATTTTTTACAGTAAGAAGACAAAGAATGTGTTGTAGAGATGTAAGTTGACAAGTTTTATTGTTTTTTCAAGTTTTATTGTTTTTGTCAAGTTTTATTGTTTTTGTCAAGTTTTATTCTAATCATTAAATTTGTTTGCTTTATCTTGTGTTTTAAATACTTCCTGTGTGTAAATGTCCAATATACTTCCTACTAGCAGAGTACCCGTCCTTTGTACGGGATTGGCATATAATTATAAAATGCTTATTGCTGTTATACTCAAGCTTTGCATTTGCAATCGGGGAGGACACGATTTGATAAAATTTGCTTCTTTAACCCTAGCAGTGGCCAATGTTAGAAGTGGGGAATGGCCAACCCATTTTGGCGATTTTGCAGACCATTTTTTGAAAATTCGTAAAAATTCAACCGTACAAGTAAACCTAGCCAACCTCATATTCATTTTGTTCGGAAAGAACAGGAGAATCTAGAAATAGTAATATCATAATGATTTAGACAGTGTATTTTATCGGTAAAGTGAAAAAAATAAAAAAAATTGAATTTTTTTTTTGAAATTTCAAAAGCGGCCTCTGCATTTTTTTTCTACGGATTTTTTTATGGGAAATTCATTATATACATTTTGTAGACAATCTAATTCCCTACATAGAAATATATAACATGTTAGGAAAATATTTTTTTTTATAAGTTTTTGGGGCGAAATATAATGACAAACGGAGAACCGAAAAAATTGAAAACCGTACAGTGTTAGTTTATGTTGTAAAAAGTTCTATAATATATGTGTATACTAATAATGATATATACATGTTTGTAAAGCTAATGAAGTAAGGAATAAAAAAAAGTCATAAAGTTTATGGTAAAAATAATTTTTTACCTATAAAAATATACGTATATAAAATAATGTTTTTATATTTTAGCGATTTCTCGAGAAAAAAATTCACAGTACTTAGTATACAACTTTTGTACCAAATTTGTTTACTTCAAACCAACATAATAATCTTGTAGTGTATTCAATTACCTACATAAAAATGTATAACATGTTAGAAATTTTTTTTTTTTTGTAGGTATGTAATAGGGACATAATAATACAATAACCGCAAAACCGCAAATAAGTGTAAACTATAGCCTACAGTGTTTGCTTGTGTTGTGAAACATTATGTAGGCTGATGATATGTAGCCTACATATTTGTAAAGCTAATGAAGTAAGGAATCCAAAAAAGTCATAAGTATGATGGTAAAAAGTTATTTTCACCTATGATTATGTATCAATTTGAGAACGTTTTGAATTTTTTGCGCATTTCGAGAAAATGGAGTGTACAGTATTTAGTAGCCTATATAATTTTTTTACCAAATTTTTTACACCCAAACCAATATAAACATGTTGTAGTGTATTCATTTACCTTTATAAAAATGTATAACACCTTGGGTAAATCATTATACAGGGTGTCCCGTAACTCTCTGGACACTTGTATATAGCGTTATTCCTTAGGTCAAGACAAACACATTTCACCATAGGAACATGGGTCTGTGGTGTCTAGTTTACCGACTGTCGGTATTTATGTGTTTTTTACAAAAAAGCTAATAACTCCTAAACGGTTTGAGATACAGCTTTGATATTTTGCAAAAATGTTAATCTTATTAAGACCTATTATCGTTAGAAATTATACTAAAAAATCATTAACCGTTTCAAAATGGCGGCCATTTAAAATATTTGATGCCAAATTTCACGAAAACCGTTAACTTAACAAAAAAATTGCAAGAGACAAAAAAGTTTGTAAATTTTATGTAGTTTTCAATGATACCTTATTTGTTAAGATTGGATAAATAATAACAGAGAAATGTCTTCTTTTCTGAACGCATGACCACTTTTCTCCATTTAAACAATGCTAAACAACGTAAAAGGAGTATTAGCATTGTTTAAATGGAGAAAAGTGGTCATGCGTTCAGAAAAGAAGACATTTCTCTGTTATTATTTATCCAATCTTAACAAATAAGGTATCATTGAAAACTACATAAAATTTACAAACTTTTTTGTCTCTTGCAATTTTTTTGTTAAGTTAACGGTTTTTGTGAAATTTGGCATCAAATATTTTAAATGGCCGCCATTTTGAAACGGTTAATGGTTTTTTAGTATAATTTCTAACGATAATAGGTCTTAATAAGATTAACATTTTTGCAAAATATCAAAGCTGTATCTCAAACCGTTTAGGAGTTATTAGCTTTTTTGTAAAAAACACATAAATACCGACAGTCGGTAAACTAGACACCACAGACCCATGTTCCTATGGTGAAATGTGTTTGTCTTGACCTAAGGAATAACGCTATATACAAGTGTCCAGAGAGTTACGGGACACCCTGTATAGCATATATAGCACCTCTGAATGTCAGAATCGTCATTTTTTAACATGATGCTAACAAAATACAGTAGTAGGCCTATTTAGTATAGGCTATACTTAACTTTTTTACAAAATTTTTTACCCCCAAACCATTATAAACATGTTGTAGTGTATTCATTTACCTTTATAAAAATGTATAACACCTTGGGTACTGGTATATCATTATATGGGTACAACAATCTCTGAATGTCAGAATCGTCATTTTAGGACATGATGCTAACAAAATACAACCTTTTATGAACACTATTTCACACAATTCAGTAATATTTATGCATGAAGATTACTGTTATACACACAACACTTCACTAACACTAACACTACGAACTAATAACATATTTAGTAATAAATCGCGGATAAAACTATTACCGGCAACAACACAAACAAACAATGGCAATACAAGACAGCTGACAGACTGTAGCAGTAATGACTCACTTGTCGTCTACATGCGAGCATACAGAAATAACCCTGAGTGCAGGGCTGCCACTCTCTGAATCTAAATTTCTTCCTCTTCAAAATGATATACTATATGACTAGTAATAATAACTTTCACTGTATATAATTCGTATTTTCCATACTGTCACCAGACGACTGTTGGCCATTTGTTAGAAATTTCAAAAACAGCTGTTTTCATAAAATCGTACCGATTGTGCAATCAATATTTAGTTATAAATATCACTACCACAATGAAGATAAAATCAATGGCTATCCAGTGGTACCACCCGCAACATCCCAAGACGAAAATTACCCGAGCAGGGTAATGCCAAACAAGACGTGTTTTGCCAGTTCCCAAGTGTCGGCTGCAAAAGTCGTACCGCGCCAAAATTTCATTTGATTTCTAATCGTCGTGACATTGTTATATACCTGCCACAGGGTTTGTTTATGTAATCAAATGAAAGTTCAGAATGTGATCTTTCGAATGGTATATATATTATTCTCATCTGAGTTGATTGTAAGTGTTTTTTTTACCGTTAAAAAAATTTTGGCCCATACCGTCACCAGACGACATTGGCCATTCTAAGCATCAACGTCATACCGTCACCAGGCGACGGTTGGCCACTGCTAGGGTTAAATTTACAGTATACTATAGTATTACACATCTACCATAGCCATATTATTCTACCACTTCACCTAAACAATAGAGAAAAGTAAATTATTAAAGATTCGCAAAATATCACAAATGATTCATGAAATTAAAAACATAAAAGTAGACTTTCTGAAAAAAAGTGAAAAAAATTGGATCAAGACTAAATCTTTTTGTTTTCATTGGCAGAGTATTTGGAGGACTGCTGGAGTTAGGTATGAATAAACCTACCGCCATCCAGCTCAATTTTTGTCCTGTCTCAAATATTTCTGGAAGATTCAGTTTTTTTTTTTAGTAAAAACTGATTTAATAGTTTTATCTATTAGTTTTAAGTCTTAGATTTAATCATTTACAATATAGCCTGTTATTGTACATGATGTACTAACATGTAAATCAAACTTTATTTATGTTTTATATATTTATTCAGAAAGCAAGTCATTTAACCCTTTGAGTGCTACGCAACGACATATCGTTGTTTACTAAAATCTCTAAGGGATATAGAGAGGAAGGTTATTTTAACAAAAAGTAGCAAAACGGCCATTGGTGACCTGCATTTTCATAGGATACACTAACAACCACTTAGCTAAAAAGATTCGCCTAATCCGATGATTCGAAGTGTATGTCTAAACCAAGGATTATGAACACCTCACTATGCCCCAGTGGTTGTAGTATATTGCTACAAACACACAGGTTACCAATTATTTGCCAGGACGGGAATTGAACCCGAACAAACGAATGCCACTGGCCAAGTGACAGACACCCTAGCCTTCTCGGCTATCTGTGCTTGGAGAATATGGAGTAAAAACTTGCATTTAAGTTGACGTCAACAATTTCTAACAGATGGCGCTAAAACTTAGTTGTTTAATATGTTACTAGGTAGCAGCAAAAGTTATTCACAGACTATTTAGATGGACTGAACCACAATAGTGATCATAAATGGTGTTACTGAGGCTTTACTGACAAACAGGTTTTTTACCTAAGAAGACTCTATTATAATATTCTTACTTAACTTCATCGAGGTTAAATTCTATATTAAATTGTAAACAAGATGCCTTTCGATTTAATGAGATTTTGGTTTCAAATAGGTAATGTTATCAGAACATTACAATTTATAAGAAAACTCGTAAATTTACAACAAAAACACAGTTTTATTTAGTGTACTTAGTGACTTTTCTTGTAATAATATTTGTTATTATCTTATTATTCCAAATTAGCCTGATTAATAAAATAGTGAAAACAATACAGTTAAAATTAAACAACAGGTAATGGAATCAAAAGGCAAACAAAAGTCTTACAAAATACAAATTATTGGCCTAGCACTCAAAGGGTAAATTTTGTATTTTGACTAATAGGTGTAAGATGAATAAAAATAGTAAACATCCTTGTGGTGAGTGGGGAAAAAATTTAAACTCTGTTGCTTTTAATGCAATGGACTCTGTAAAAAATTGAATCACTTAAAATGTGTAAACCTAACATGAGATAATAAATTTTCCATTAAAAGAACAACCCCTGTGGCAGTGTCCTACTTGCCTAAATAATCATGCAAACGACGATTCTCTTAATTTGGCCACTGAAATAGGGAGTGTGATTCTGTGTGAAAATGTTGAAAATGAAGAATTGAAACAAGCATTGCATGAAAAAAAAATTGCTAAATCTCATCATGAATTGGAATTGGAGGATGAATTGAAAGAAAATTACGATGAAGTAAATAATTGTTTAAAACCCAAGAAGAAAAAGGGAAAAAGCTAAATACTATTATTATATCCCTGGAAAATAAAATAACTGCATTAAAAAAAATAATTCTAAACTTACATTGCAAACAACGAATGAAAGTAACAGTCTAGTTATCAAAAAATCTCTGACAATGGAAACTGTAAGAAATGTGAGGTCTTTTGGGAGGATATATCCATTTTAGGTCCCCCTGAACCCAAAAAAGTGCACAAAAGCTATTGCAAATTGTGTGATTTTCCGATAAAAAGGCATGAAATAATGGAAAATTGATAAAAAAAATTGCTTGACCGATTTCTATTCAAATTTAGTTTTGTAATTGTTATTGTCCTTTTAACTATAAACCAGAGAGTCAACCCCCCTATTGTTGTTAAAATTATTGTTTAAAAATTATTGCAACTTTTGTGATTTTCTTCATAAAAAATCATAGCGACTTCCACCGGAGCAGCATTCTCACCAAGACTGTTGTCGCTGCTTGTAGGCAGGTAATCAGGTGTTCCTCTAGAATGATGTGGTGTCGTGCGAAGAGCTTCAATCTCAGGACGCAATGCTAAGCGGCGTCTCAAGAATTCTTTGTAGGATATTCTACCACTTTCATCAGCTCCGAGTTCTTTCATCAACTCTTCTAAAGAGTCTTCAAGATTTAGTTCACGACAAACGTTGAGTAAATCCTGGCTGCAAAAGAAGAAACATGATAAAGTTATCATAACTTGGGAATACAGTACCCTGTTATAATTTGATGACACCCTCCGCCTCAGAAAACTTAAAGACTAAGAACATTTCCATTTGCCTGATCAGAATTTCACAAAAATATTTCTTAAAACGTGTCAGATTTATTCCCAACTTAAATACCATTATGTGTAGTAAATACTTAGGTTTGCTACTACAAGAATTTTACAAATGTGTGTTTTTTAGCAAAATGTTTACCAAATTTAAGGTTTTCCATAAGAATAACCTAAGGTTTGCTGCGGTGGAGGTATTTGTTATATTTTCTCAGTATCCATATGGTGTACAATATCCTACAATATACCCTATTTATTACATTGCAGATTTTTTTTAGCTTTACAAAAGGGAGAGAACTTGCATTTTTTTTCTTTTGAGGGTCAAAAACAAGGAAAACCAGTATTTACCCTAAAATCCCTGTTTCCATAGTCTGATTATCCTGGTTCTCAAACTCGTCTAGTAGGTTTATGGGTTTGTACCAAATATCATCAAAATCTAACCATTTTTATACAATTTATTGTGCTAACGGACACATATAAATATAAATATATATATATATATATAACCTATATATTTCAATGGATGGTATTTTTGGCCTTCGATGAACATCAAAAAGAAAAAGTAAATGTCCTACCATGAGACCTACAGTAATAGCTTATTCCCTATATGGGAAATTCTCTAAAATAAGTGTATATTATGCAAGTGTTTACAGGTGACATTTTTCGATTTAAGAGTCATCAGTGGTAGCCATATTGGATTTTAGTCCCATAAGAGCAATGTTAACTTCTTAACCGAATTTATAAAAAACCTGTTGTGATAAAGTAATGATTGACGTGTTCAAATTCAGGTTTAGTGGTCCTCTATTGAGTGAGGATTTTAGTTTTGTCATTTTTCCTCCGCTTAATAAGTTAATGATTATCAATTAAGCCTTTAATTAAATAATTTATGAAAGACAAAATAATGAAAGACAAAAAAAAAAATTTCAAATATCATTACCTCATTCCCCACTACTCTATGTTATAAACCTAATTATAAGTTTTCAAAACTATATCTTTATAAATAACACCGGCATGCTGCTTCAAATGATGGTATGTTCTGTCAAATTAAACATTGCTCTCATGGGACTAAAATTCAATATCGCTACCACTGATGAAGACTCTTAAGGTTAAGGTTATTTATTTGGAAAAGTAGTATCAATGTTATTTTGTTGTAATTTATATTGCCTAATTATCAGTGTTGGGAAGTAGCGCGCTACAAGTAGCGACACAGTAGCGCGCTACTTTTTTTGTAGCGTTAGCTGTAGCTACGCTACTTTTAAGATTTTGTAGCTTTAGCTGTAGCTAGCTACATTTTTAAAGTAGTTGTAGCGGAATTTTAACTACTTTTCTTGCTACATTAACATTGTTTGAGATAGTGATTTTTATCATAACCTCAACCTTACGTGAAACAACCTCTTTCAAACTGAGATTTAAAAAAAATTAGGCCTACTTTCTTGGCTTCATATAGCTGGTTGCAGCCGTTTCATTCCCTATTACAACGTTGTGTGGACATAGAGGCCATTAAATGAGTGTTATCCACATTTTTGGCTCTCATTTCCTTAATTTACTATTCTATGATTACTGTCAGATAAAATAAAATCGCTAGTTGCAGACGACTTTTAAACGTTACCGGTGACAAGAGAAGCTATTGAATGCTTGCAAGTGATTGACAGGGAAATTAGTAATCAATTTAGTTTCTTTATTATATCGATAGTGTTTCAACTTGGGTTTTAATGGAAACCAACACTAAACCTTAAAATAATGAGAAAGCTGGTCTAGCTTCAGCTGTTGATTGTGGTTCATCATCACAAGCCCTTCCTTGGTCAGATTACGAAGATTTTTCAAAGGTTTACTAAATTAACAAAGAGGAAATTACCTGATGAGAATTAAGATATGCCTAGACCTACATGATAATTGTAACGAAAAAATCTCCATATGACATGAAACTTAGATTGAAAAATTAGCATAGTTTACTCCTGCTATAGGAGCTCTTTGTATACGACTATTCCTAGCCAACTTGTTACATAGCTAAGTAGGCCTACATGTTATTTTTACTTTACAAATTTCAACATGTTTAAATCAAAAGCCGATTTCAGGATAAGTTGCTGAATACTGTTTTCTGTACCAATTAGGTTGAAGCACAATTTGCCCTATGCATAATGACAATAAAGGACGATTTCTTGACATTGAAAAGTGTTATTCATAGAACAAGTAACTTATCACTATGGTTAAAAAGTTATAGCAATGTCATTTTTAACATTAAAAGTAAAGAAAGGCAATAAACTCCAATTTCAGTAGGCTAGGCTATGTAACACAAAAATGTATTTTTAAATAATCGTTTTACAGTTTTATTGGTCTTAATTGTTGATATAAGACATCTATAAATGAATCTATATTAAAGAAATAATACCCCCGCCGCAGCAAACCTGCCGACTAAGCGAATTTCCATTTGTCTGAATTGATTTTCAGTTAAATATATTTTAATAACATTAGGTTTAACGAGTACCTAGGTTTGCTGCTACAAGGAAACTAATAAAGTATGTTTTTGAGTAAAATATTGATAGCTTAGTACAAAATAAATAAATTTGCCAAGTTTAATCAAAATATATCCATAAACAAGCAAACTACAACATTTGACAGTATTCTCCATAAGAATAACATGGGAATTTTAAATTTACAATTTTTTTAATTTTCTCCGTTACTAATAATCGAACAAAAATACTTTTATATACTAAATTATTTGTTTTTTTAAGCTCTTTAAAAAGGTCTAAAGAGAAATCGGGAAATTTTGTGTTTTGGGGGTCAAAAGTGAGAAAAACCAATTTTTACCCCACAAAACCCCCCGTAAAGCCCCGTTCCCATGGTCCGATCGTGCTGGTTCGCGAACTCATTCAAGTTTATCCCGCTTTACACCTTTAAACCAAATTTCATCAAAATCGGACAAAAATTACTCAAGTTATCGCGTTCACGGACGTATATATATATATATATAAGTCTATATATATATATATACATATATAAAAATTTGAACGAATGGTGTTTTTGGCCTCTGGGGACATCAAAATGAAAAAGTAAATCGGTCCCGGGTCTAGGTCTTACCGTGCCACCTACGGTAATAGCTACTTCCCTATAGGGAAATTCGCTAAAATGGGTTTAAAAATATAGTTTTGTTGTATGTCCTTTGAACTTAATGAAATTTACATATAAAATGCTTAAAAATAATGCAATATTTAAAAATAAGTACTAAATATGATGGGACACCCAACTAAGATGCTTAAAAATAATGCAATATTTAAAAATCTATATAAATAAAATTAGAGTTTTGTCTGTACATTGCTTAGAATAATGAACTTTTTGGTTATTTTTACATTTCATAGGTCAGAGAAACCGAATCAAACCTTATCTCAATTTCTGTCTGTCTGTCTGTCTGTCTGTCTGTCTGTCTATCTGTCATTCTCTTGGTAACGCTAAAATACGCACTTTATTACAACTACTCCTCAATAACTATAGCACTGTCCCGCCTGAAACTTATTTTCCAAATACTATACATATATGAGATGGTTTTAGACGTATTTCATCGAATATGAGACAGTTAGATATTTAACAGTAAACCCTTGAAAATCATGTTTTTGTCGATTTTTGACGTGGAATTTCTGGAAGCCCATGTTAACCTTATGAGAAATGAAATTATTGAATCTTAACAGCTGTTTCAATTAAACAAGTTGGTTCTGTTCTGTGATGTTCAATAGCATTAAAGTTACAAGGATTACCAACAGGGTGCAGCACTAGCACTATTATTTCTTTTACATTTATGACAACAGCTAATTTGCAACCTGGAGGCGAGTGAGCGTAGCGAACGAGCTAACCTGAAGGCAAGTGAGCGTAGCGAACGAGCTAACCTGAAGGAAAGTGAGCGCAGCGAACGAGCTCCAACATACAGGTGAGTGAGCGTAGCGAACGAACTTCAACCAGGACGTGATTGAGCCATGCAAACGAGATCAGATAGTAAAAATAAAAGTAAGCCTACCGTTATAGGATCGACCGGCAGACACAGAGGTAATTTAACCTTTTATTGATTGTCATACCGATCCGGAACAACAAAAAACAACATAAAATGAAGCTATGTATAATAGTTTGGCCAGCATATCTTAAAATATGCAAACCAACTGCTGTTCTTTATATAAGAAGGTTTCAACTGAATATTATAAGATCCCCGTGCGTAGAACGGGTACACAGCTAGTAAGTACTAAATATGATGGGACACCCAACTATTTGGTTCTGTTGTTGTAATTTTAGGTTTATAATGCCAACAAATTAAATACAATCTAGGAATAATTTGTTTTCCTAGTAATGGTAGATACAGTACTGACATTTTTTTTATGTTTGTTCAATAAAAATGTAGTTTCAATTAATTTTAGATTTACCTAATGTGCGTGGAATAAAAAGTAACGTCTTTGGAAAAGTAGCTAAAATTGTAGCTGTAGCTACATTTCATTGTAGCTGTAGTTGTAGCTAGCTACTTTTTTGGAACTGTAGCTGTAGCTGTAGCTAAGTTACTTTTTTGGAAATGTAGCAGTAGTTGTAGCTAGCTACATTTTAAAAGTAGCTTCCCCAATACTGCTAATTATCAGTAAGCTAACAAAACAGAGAGCATAAATGTAGGTGAACCTTTACAGCGCATATTAGAGATTTTTAAAATCAATTTCCAACAAGTTTTCAAATAGAATCTTACTAGAATCAATATTTGAATCCTCACACCAATTCTGTGATTCTTACTGTGAGGCACATTAAGCCGCACGGGATTCGTAGTTAATAAAATATTAGTATGCTGAAAAATTCAAACCTATATAGATGGGGGGCCACCAGTTGACCGACAAGATACTTGGTCGTCTGGCCACTAGACCGTCTTTTTTT